GGGCAGGAGATGGATGAGCACATCATGGCTGAGATACAGGGACAAAGCTGTGGAAGGGGCAGGGGGGTGGCAAGGGACTATGTCGGCTGAAAGCAAGGCTTATTGCCAGAAGCATGAGGAGGAAGCCCCAGTGAATGTACCCGGCTTCATTTTGCTGTCAAACCTTCATTGTCAGACACCAAAACTGCACTACACTTTCCTGCGTGGTTCAGATATAACGAGCTGGAAAGGAAAACGGATCATCTCATTAATTTTCCTCAGGAAGGGTCTCTAGGCAGGAATTATTTTCTGCACCAATATACATTCAATTACTTGCTTTCACACCAGTCAGATCTACAGGGATGTCTAACCCCATGCGCATCACTCATGCCTGCTCTCCCTGGACCATTCTCTCCCTCCTCCTCAGTATAAATGCCTCCAAGACCTGTCCCTTCTCTAATGATGGTAACATGGCAAAGCCACTAGTACAGAAAAAAAGATACAGTGCATTTCTGTTTGAGTTGCAAGATCCCGATAAGGTACTCTCTTTCAGTTTTTGAGGTTCTATTAGAAGGAGGGTCAGATTTCCATAATTAAGGACTTATTTAAAAATTGGATTGAGGAATATTATTCATAATAATAATCTTTCCTGCAGAAAAGGATAGCAACTTTCTCAAAGTCATAAGAGGTGCTCAATAGGTGATCCATAGGTGACATGAGTCTGCAGATCTTGGCTGTTTGGTGGGTAGACAAGGAAGTACAAAGCTGGAAGTGAGCATTCTTTAAATGGAAAAAAAATATCAGTCACTCTGCCATTTTCCTTGAAAGGCAAAGATTCTTGAATAACCCGAAAAATTGCTTAGATGTTTCTGCTGTATGAGAAAGAGACGTCTGAAGGAAGATCAAAAAGTGTTGCTAGTGTGGCATTTAATCACCTGAGCAGAGAACGTATTTCTTAGCTTAGAGCTGGATTGGAGGGTAGAAGAAACACTGAGATTGACATCCATGTTCATGTCAACCCTGGAGAAGGTCCTACAGGAAAAGGTTGGAAAACCATTAAGGGAAAGCAAATGAATATTTGAAGGAGGAGGAGTTCTAAAATAGAAGGATCCCAAGCCCAGTTTTCTGAGTGGGACTAGTGATTTTAAGGGCTGGAATTCTGAGGGGCTCAAATTGTGACACCTTTACAAGGGCCCAGTTGTCAGAAGTGCACTTGAAAAATACGGGTTCCCAAATTACTATTCTCTTGGAGAGGGAGATTAAACTTCCCCTCTAGGATGAAGCTAGGAGAGAGAGAGCACTGCAGGGAGCAGAATGAACACACAGGCTGATGCGATAGTAACCGGGGCATGGAAAGACCTAAGGCAGACAGGCAGGCATAGGGAAAGAGGGCGCTCTAAACAGTAATGGAGATTGACTGGCAAAACAGAAGGGCCCCAGAACAGACACTACTATCAGGAGCCCCAGTTACATGTAAGCTACCTACAGACAACAGAATTGATAACCTGCCATCTCCAAAACGTTATGTTTTGCCCTGCTTTCCAACTGCAACCCCAGTGTTACTGAATTCTTGCAGGACCAAGGGAATCCCCATGCTAGCAGCCTTAACAGGGGCTTTTTATCCATAGACACAGATCAATAATGGTTACTTCTCTAGCTAGCCCCTGTAGTGTAGCTCCTTATATGCCCAGTGGCTGCTCCTCACCATACAGGCCTGAGCCAAAGCCCCTGGAAGTCAGGAGGGACACTCCCTGCATCTTGCTACCGCACATGGCAGTCAATGAGGAGGGTTCCAGATGTGTGGCCATCTTTGCTGTTTCAACTCCCATTGCACACCCACACCCAAAAGCTGATCCTCACATTCACAAGCAATACCAGTCCACCACAGTGGAGAAAGAAGGTACAACTCTTCCCCCCTCCCCCCACACCACTTAGCAGAAAACTTTCAAGTAGAGCAAGGGAGCCAGGAAGTAGAGCAAGGGAAGCATTTCTTAGTCTCTCTTCAGAAGGGGAGAAACAAAAGAAGTATCTCAAGAGACCAGCTGCACTAATAAAAACCTAAAAGAGATCAGAAACAACCACCAAGTTGCCTTTCATTTACAGTCACAAAACAGCAGCTTGACAAGGGGATGTGAAATATGTTCTTCACTTCTAGGGAGGAAAATGAACAGAAGTCTAACCCCACACAAATCCCTGATGGAGAAGCCAATTCTGGGGAAGCAGAAGGCACTGCTAAGCCATCCAGGCATGGGCCATTTCTGTGTAACATTAGCATTTTTAAAGCAAGCCCCCTGCACAATCCTTTTTCAGTAACCTCTTTTGCCGTGCTAGAATATCCTCCTCTCCCCACCCTTTCCCCAGGGGAAGTTTTAGGGCAAAACTATACCTGCCCCTTTGGCTTGGGGAAGGCCAATTTTAGCAGCTGGTCTAGTTAATTAGCAGCAGGGCTAAAGCTGTTTCCACTCCCCCACCTCCTTTCCTCTCTCTCTGCCTCTGCATTCTCCAGTGGTGGGATGGGGAGCCTCCTCTCCACCTCAGTGCTCACATGGCTGCTGCTTCTCAGATGAACAATTAAACAAATTGGAGAGGGGGAGGGGGAGAGTTGACTGATGCCAGGGAAGGGGGTGCTGCACCCCACTAGTGTTGGGTGGATGGGAGAATGGCCTTCAGGGGCAAGCCAGCATCTCAGCATCTGTCTGCATCTCAGCCCCCCTTTGCAGTGATGCAATTGAAACCCACTGGAAATCTGATGGGGGGAAGGGAGGGGGCTTGTTAGCCAGCAAGTTCAACCGGCAGACAGGCAGGGGTTTTGGGATGGGGGCAATGCTGAGCTTTTAATTAAAAGGTGCCGGTGCTTTTTATTTGCGGCCAATCGCCTCTCAGGTCAGTTCCTGCCTCCTGGAAAATGCAGGGAAGGGCACAGACAAGGCTTTTCAGTGCCCACTGGGTTCATGCCCAGCCAGAATGCACAATAGTTCCTACATCCATGTCGCTTCTCCCCCAACTCCGTTTGTCTAGACCTCCAGCCCTGGGAATGTGGGGTTGGAGGTAGATGCTACCCACCCCCCAACACACACACACACACACACACACCCCCCCCCCCACCCCCCCCCCCCCCCCCCCCCCCCCCCCCCCCATCACCTAACACCTCCCCACACACCCTCAACACACAGGCACACATACAGACACTTCCTCCACACACCCAACACCCCCACCACACACACATAACACCCAGACACACCCCCATACACCCCAACATATACACACACACACACACACACACACACACACACCCTGCTTAGCAGCAGCCAGATTCTCTGCTGGTTTATATATTTGTAAAAGGCTCTCGCTCATCAATGAGTAATGAAGAGGCTGTCTCTTGCTCCACTTCTAATGAACAGCTGCATGAAAGGCTCTTAATTTTTTTTTTTTTTGGGGGGGGGGGGGGATGTTTCAAACGTCCCTGATTAATTTACTGCTATTGATTTTCTGGCTTGGAGATAGCATATAGCATTCAGCAGAGAGCTCCGCTGCAGAATATGTTAAAAGGCAGCGGGTTTGGATTGAGAAAGGGCACCAAATGCAGTATGCGTCAAATAGACCATCGCTCAATGAAGTCACTTAGCTATTCAAAACATGTCCAGCCATCACTCAACCGTTTGCACCAAAGACCAAAGGGGGGGGGATTCGTGCTTTTGCCCGGACACAACCATTTCCAAAGAGCAGTTTTCGCTGGGTTTGTGGGGAGGGGGTGCCATTAGGACACGCACAGTTTCCACCCCCCTCCCTCTTCTCGCTTTCCGTCTCCAACACTGCTGGGAGAGAAAGGCGATTCTGCGGTATCCTCTTCCCCACTCCCCTCGGCAGAGATCCGCGCTTATTCGCTTCAGGTGGACACACACACAGACCTACTGCCTTATCTGGGGGCGCCCACAGCAAAGCCCCACCAGCCTCCACCTTCGAGGCGATTCAGGAGCACGGATTTTTCTGCTGGGCTCTGGGGGCTCTGCGTGAGTGTGGCCACAAACCAGACGTTTGCATCAGTGCCCCTGCGAAACCCACCTCCCCAGTGAGCCCCCGCTTTCCCCCTTCCCCATAGCCAGACTAAAGAGCACGTATTGAAAAGCAAACTGCTTCCCCCTCTGCTCTCCGCCCCCCGCCCTGCTCGGAGCGTCTGCTTCCAGGAGCTGGCTGCAATGCTGTTTCTCCTCTTGCCATCAGACATGTCATTCTATGTGGGAGCCGAGTTGCTTTTCAGCCTCACCACATTCCCACCGAGGCTGGCTTTCTGCTCAAAGGCTCCCTTCTTGTTAGCCTTTGCAATGAACCCTTCAAGAAAACAAACAAACAGGAAGGGGGGTGGACAAATTACCCCAAACAAAAGCCACTCAACCCAGCCCAGCAATATGTAGCTGCTCGGAGACATTACGAAACGTTCTTAAACTCTGCTTGAGATGACTGGAGTCGAGAGCCTTTTCAAACCAGCCTGTGCTTAGCCATAACAAGACTGGCTTGCCTTTTTTTTTTTTTTTTTTCCTAAAAGGAAGTGATATTTACATATGAAGCACTTTGCCACCCCCCCCACTTCTCACTTCTCAGCCCCGTCTTCATCAAAGCAATTTGCAAAGGAGAGCAATTATTTCCCTCTGTTATTACAGCCAACAGTGCACCAATAATACAGCATTTTGCTTGCTTTCCCAGTCAATCATACGCTGGAGAGAGGCGGATCACACAGTTTAAGAGAGTCTCTGGATGTTTTCACAGTACAAAGATTATTCCAATGGAGAAGGTTGGCATTTTTTTTGGAGGGCAAGGGAGAGAGAGCGAGAAAGGAACAGAGCACAGAGCATGTTTCACTTCTCCTCTTGCCTTCCCTTGCTCAGGAACTAACCCCAGCACCCTTGCTCCACAGTGGAAGGAGTGAAGTGAGAAAATGGTGGAATGTGGAGGGACTTAAGGGGGTGGGGGGGGATAGAAAAGGGGAGGTAGAGGAGGGGAGGAGGAGATCCAGAATCAAATACCTTCCAGGCAGCAGGTTCTCCATAATCCAGAGTGGGTCATGACTTCCTCGTTCTTTTTGCTGGTTTCGTTCTCATTGACAATTTTACTCTTGCAAACCCCTCTGGAGTAAAGCCAGTAGTCGGTCCCCACAGCTATGGTCATCAGGCTGAAGGCAGCGAAAGCACCAACGGTGGTTAAAAGCATCTGAACACCTCTGTCAAAGAGCCCCATAATTCTTCATTATATAAATACCCAACCGCCTTTGGATTCTTGGGGTGTGTGTGTTAATAAAATAAAAAAAAGGATAATAATTCCACTAATAATATAATGGGAATATATAGAGAGATATATATAAAAAAGGGAGGTAAGAAAGCCCACGGAAAAGAGTGTAAATTGCAAAGATCACACGGGAAGAGGCTTGCCTTTTAAATCAGAAACGTTCCAGTTGTAATAGATGTATATATATATAAAAAAAAAGAAAGAAAAAAGAAAAAAAGAATAAAAGAGAAAGAAAAGAACTAAAAAAAAAAGAGAGAAATAAAGAGAGAAACCCCCCCAAAATGAGATGCCTTAATCCCTTTTTCTAAAATTCTGGTCTCCAGTTTCCATATGTAATGGCTAATTTGGAGATGGCTTCCACAGTGAACAGGGGAGCAGCAGCAGCATCCTCAACACAATCTCTCATTATCTGGACCTAGACAGTTAGAGATTGTAAGAGCAGAGATGCAACCTTCAGTCTTCTTGCTTAGCTCTGCAGCCTGCGCCATGAAAATCCCTTTCCTTCCCAGTTATCTTCCTTGGATTTTTGTTTTTGTTGTTGTTGGGGTTTTTTTTGTTTGTTTCTATTCTCTTGCACTTTTCTTGCTTTCTTTTTGTTTGTTTGTTTGTTTTGCTTGCTTGGTTGTTTCTTCCCCTACCACCGAACCAGGCTGCCCAGTATACTGTAAGCCCTTGATTTCAGCTGAACAGGTGCTGAGGTCTTGCCTTCCATGGCTTTCCCCACAGCAGCAGCAGCAGTTGGTGTTGTTGGCGGAGGCAAAAGTGGGCAGGAGAGGGTGTTGCTCCCCCAGAATCGAGACGGGTTTCCCTCCTCCTCTCTGCAACGCTTCGGAAGAGAAGAGGACCGGTGTGTTGCTGCAGGGTTTGCTGCTCGGCGGTGGCTGCCTCTGTCTCTCTTCCCTTGTCAGTTGCTCTCCCACCTACTGCATTAACGTGGTGGTGCTGAAGTGGACAGCTCCCCGGCACCCGGTGCTCCGCGGTGCTGGAGAACAGCTCCTCCGCCTCTCTCCCGGGATGCTGCGGGGACCTCGGGAGGGGAGCTGGGGGCAAGAGCTTCCCCTTCTTACTGCCTTTTCCCCGGCATCTGCAAATGGTGGTGACCCTCCTCTGCTTTGAGGAGCAGGAAGGGAGGGGCGGGGGTGCGGGATTAGCCTTCCCACTTGTCCCTTCTTGGTTGTACCCCTCTTCTTCCTCAGTCCTGAAATGATTGCTCCCCTAGGCTTCAGGAGCGGAGAGCGAGGCGTAGCTGGGTCTCGCTCGCTCGCTCGCTCTCTCTCCCAGCCCAGCCCAGCCTCCTTCTCATCCCAGCTATACGTGCCCAGGGCTCCAAATACAAGCCTCACATCACAATTAGACCAGCACAAAACTTCAATCAGCCGTTTCTCTTCCCAGGAGAAGGGAGAAATGCAACGTGGAAGGGTCATTTAAATAAATAAATAAATATATAAAAATGTGTGTGTGTATACGTATATACATATATAGATGTACACACACACACATTCTCTTAAAAAGAAAATAAAATGAAATTAAATAAAATAAGGAAGCCGGCGCTTGAGCACTTGATCTTCCTTATTCTCGGGTTTGTTACAAGTCAGATTTTTTTTTGGTGGTGGTGGTGATGATCCTCTCTCGTTCCTTTGTCTCTCCCTAACCAATGGTGTGTGTATCTCTCTCTCTCTCTCCTTTGTAGCTTACTGTGAAATCCCAAATCCTGCTCCAACTAGAAGACATTTTGGAAAGATTGTTTAGAAAAAAGGGTCATTTCGAAACACAGAAGAAGAAGTTGCTTGCAAATTGAATCCCTCCCCCCTCCCCAATCCAGCCCTCTGCTCATTGCACACGGGGGAGGCTCCGACTGAATTGACAGAAAGGCTATGATCGCGCATCGCCTTGAAGTTTCCTGTGCCAAGCACAGCTTGTTAGGACCAGATCTGAGCCCGCACACACAGAGATGTACACAAAGTGAACAGTGCTGGCATGTCACTAGCCTCTCTGCCTCCCTCTGCACTCTCCTCACAGCCACTTTAATGGCATTATTCACTTCAGGACGCTAACCTGGGGAGCTGCGCCTTCATGGAGAGAAAAAACCCCCAACCGGATGACCCTGATTTCATTTCTCCCTGACCAGCTTCATAGTTCAGAGATGAGGGGGCCAGGCGGCTCGCAGGGAAGTTGAAGCAGTGAGAGGGATTCAGACACATTGCAATTTCATAACTCTCTTCATCTCTCTGCCCTTCCCTGGATGCCGGCTGAGCTCATTCTGAGACAAGCTCTCCGAGGGCTGCTGAACGCTGAAGACTTTGTAAAAAGAGAGAGAATTACAAACCAGTTTGCACCGGTTGTGCTATCAATCTCTGAGCCCCTGCCTGCCACTGACGGGCTGACCTCCAGTGGGACACTGACTCCTCAGCTTGGCTAGCTCAGACCCCCAACTACCTGCCTCTTTGGTCCCATTTGCCTGAATGCCCATTCATGCCCAGGCAGGCGATGACAAGCTTGCTAGTGTGTGAGAATTACATGTTCTCTCCTCCTCCCACCCCTTGGATTTGCTTCTCTCCTTCATAGTGTGGATTCATTGACAAGGAAATCTGCTCTTCTCCTTCTGTCCCAATACGCAAGAGGGAGCTGAGGGGAAGGGGACTGAGAGCTTCAAGGTGCACCTCAGAGCTGGGCCAAGGTAGTGAACAAAGTTTATGATGGTTACAAGGGGCTGTGTGAGAGGGGGCCTCACCATCATGTCCCTCAGAGAGCCTTGTTCCTCCCAGTGCCACCCCCAGGGTCCTGCACCCTCCCCTCCAGCCCCTGATTATTCTTTTGAACGGTTAGTGTGGCCCACTCTCACCAACTCCCTCAGCCTTACTTCAATCCAGTCATACCCTCATCCCAGACACATATATACACAGGGGCTGGGAATCCAGTGGCAAACACCATCCCAGGGTCATGTTTGTCAGCACAGGGGCACTGGCATCTGGCACTGTCAATACCAGAAGCTCTAGCAGCAGCAGCCACCAGTCCCCCTCAGCCTGGGGAGGAGGTAAGGGAGAAGCCTGGATGCCCGTTGCCCCCAGCAGACATTGTTGAAAGGACATTCCTGCTATCCATGCTAGACCTGACATGTGGTGTGCTCTGAAGCTGAGCAGCAGGGGGACACAGAGCTGGGCAGATGCTCAGTTGTCCCCATGTTTGATTGGACTGGTCAAAGCACACATGTGTTTGATTGGGGATGAATTAATTGGGGTCTTCAAAGGGGAGGGAGCATCATCAGCTCCAATGGTGACAAGGCAAGAGGGAGCCTTCTCTGCTCACTGGGAGCCACTGTGCTTGACCTGGGCGGTGGAGCTGGTGACCCTGCTCTGTGGCAGCCTGGACTGTCCCTTCTGTGCAAGTTGTGGCTTCAAGGAGTGGAGAGCTCTGAGGGCTTTGTTGGTACAGGTGGCTCCACCAATCTTCTCTGAATTCTCTCCTGCATTGGGAGGGTAGGCTTTTTTCCTCAGGCTTGGTGTTCACCTGGCTTGTCTAAAGGACATTGAAATGCCAAAAGTGGCAGAGGCCTTTCCCTCCAAGCCCGGGGCCCAGCAAGTGACTAGGATCCTATGAAATGCCTCCAGTGAAAGAGGCTATGACTGTCACAAAGGTGTCTTTTGAGAGCCTATCATTAGGCCTCCCTAAAGTCCTAGCAGCCCTGTGGAAAATGTCTTGTGGAACTTGGTGCTAGTGGAGATTATCAAAGAGATCTTTCTTCCTGAAAGGGTGGCTCTGGGAATGGGCTGATGGTGGTTGTGATGGAGGGAGACAACCTCCTTTGCAGCTCTGACCCCTTTCCTATCCAGCACTATGTACAGTTTTCATTTCATTCTGGTCTGGAGGTTTTGGCACACCATAGTATTAGTAGTTACTCCCAACATTCAAGATCAAGATCTCTCCTTATGGAGACAGGAGAGGCAGAGAAGACTAGCCAGTGAAGTACAAAAAGCTCTATAAGAGGAGCTCAGATGGACAGACAACCTGAAAATTATGTAAGTGCTGTCAGGAGAGAAATATAGTCCCTGGGGGAACAAGGAACCTTGGTCACAGACCAGGACTCCTGTGTGCTAGGTGCTGGATTAACTCTGATCCAGTGAGAACATGTGAGTGAATAAGCATCTGCCATTATGAGTGAGAGTTGCACAGCTGGCCCAGAGCAAACAACCAGAAATAAGAGAAAAAAGAACACCACAGTTGAAATAGTGGAATTATATTTCTACTTGTACTGACACTACCAGAATCATAGAAATCACAGAAGGACTGGATCTATGTCATCTATGTTCTACCCCGACAATCAGTGCAGGATTGTTCCCTTCACCACAGTCTCTAATGCTTTGACTGGTCCAATCAAGCAATAGCAGACTCATAATTTCCATTGAGAGGTTATTCCACAATCTGATCAGGTCCAGTCTTGAAGGATGATGAGCCCAGAAACTGCAGTAGGAGATAAGGGTGCTTAGTGCTTCACAGAATCAGGACCTAAAAGCTTCTTATCAAGCTTCTTCCTGATATTCAGACTCAGTTGTCCCTTCCCATTATCTTATGTGCATGATTCTGGCCTATTCCAAATAATTCCTCTATCATTCTAAGTGATATGGTGGAAGAACAGGTTCAACGACAGCACAGAGGCAGAGGAAACAAACTCACTGAAATCTCAAGGTGCATGTGGCTGCTCCTGGCACTATGGCTGCATACAGAAAAGAGATTTCACCTCTTATACAAGGAATCATTTTTATACAAAAATGAGTTACAGAAGGAAAACATAGTTGAAGATTTTTATTACAGTTACAATAAGATATTACTATATACTATAAACACAGAAATATGTATTACGACTGCAGAGCAGGAGGAGAGAAATGAATG